AACTCACATGATGAGAAACATCATACTGCATTTTATGACCTAAACCATTAATTCTAGGTCAATGTTTTGTCTCTAACTGAATATCAAGACACATTTTGTGAAAAGTCTACTGCTCTTCATGTCTTGAAGGATAAATTTCAGATATTTTCTTAGACCTTAAAATAAAGGACTAAAAAAACCTTGAAAGCCTGAGTCTAAAACAAGCATGGTATTAGAATTTATTGTGAATTTTTCTAAGTTGTTCTTGTAGGCACTTATATGTCTGTATTGATAAGACAGTAAACATACTATGGTATAACATCTTATACATTTTAAGGGAAATTACTAGGTTTTAGTATTTTAGAATCTGATAAATAAGTTTATACTAGTATTCATAATAATGAAATATGAAATTCAGTATTTTGTTTTCAAAAGGTGTATAAGACCAGCGTGTCCTCAAAAAGGTTAACTTCAGATTGTTCATGCTATAATCTAAACTATCCCTGACTTTTCTTCATAATTTAAAAAGTAGTCTAATCTTTTATCACTTTTATCTTTATAAACTAAAGAGTTCAAATTATTAAAGCCATTAACTTTTATTCTTAACTTAGAATTTGTTATATATAAGGTAGTATAAGTTTATCTAGCTTTATCCTGATAATTTTCATTAGGCATTTCCTTATCTAAAAAATTTTCACTATAGTAGCAGTTACTGAAGACATAACTGACTCAGAACTATCAAACTATAGAACTATAAGGAACTAATAGGCTAAATGTAATTTTCTACTTTTACAAATGAGGAGACTGGTGAGGTCTAATGCTGATAAGCAGCTCTTCTGTAGTAAAACAACTAAAACCCTGAGCAACATTTAACAAAATTATACTTCAAATTGCAGATTAAGTGAATTGCCACCAGTATTTTATAAAAGCAACAGAGTAGAAAATAACATAGGTGCTTCAATTAATTTTTCCCCAGTTACATGCATGTATCAGATCATAGTGTAAATGCATTTATGACAGTTTAGAAGTGATTGCAATAAGGTATCTAATTCTTTAAGTAGATTTAAAATTTAAATTTTTACTTTTATTTTAAAGTTTATTAATTTACTACTATGGTAATAATTTTACTTAGTATAATGACTAAGCTAATAAAAATATCCATTTATTAAATACTAAATTACATCATTTAAAATATGCCATATTTCCTCTTAAAAAAAAAGTCTGGTTAAAAAAAACAAAAAGTTTGGTTCTGAACATTATACCTTTTCCCATCTATGAACAGGCAAATTTTCTTATAAGTGTCACATTTCTGTAGAGCTTATATGTATAACAAGTAAACAACCTTTTTAAAATAGCAAATTCTAGAATTCTGATTCTTACCAAACACTGGAATAAACCAAAAAAAGAAAACAAAAAACAAAACATAAACAAAATCAAGAAAAAAAATCACCTAAAGTTTGTGGGGAAAAAAACAGTGCCCTCTAGTGGACTCATTAAATGACACTGGCATAATTCTCATTCTTAATAGTTTAGAAATTAAAGTAACACTAATATATCCAGAACACAAAAGATACCAATATGGTTATAAAACTGAAAAACATCATACACAACGGGACAAATGCATATTTATAAGTTACTTACTGGTTTTTTGTAATCAAGTGAGAAATGAGCAGAATCCTGGCCTTATTCAGAATCTATCATCAGCTTAAGAAAAACATTTAGCCCTTTTGAGTTTGTTTAATGAAGGTGTTAAGTTAAATCTAGGGACTCTCTTTAGTTCTTTCTTCTTTAATTCATCTTTTTTTTTTTTTTTTTTTTTTTGTATTTTGGTGCAGGTTCTACAGGGTCTTACTACACAGATTGGACTTGTAGTGATTCTCCTGTTCTCAGCCTCCCAAGCGCTGGGATTACAGGCATGTAAACACCACCCCTAGTCTCAATCACCATTTCAGTGTGCCCTGGGGGCGGGGCTGGCTCAGCAGGCCCAGGATTGAACCTCCAAACCCAGTGTCTGCCTTACCCACTTTTGGCTGGCCCATAATTGAGGACTTTTTTTGGGCGGGGGTGGGGGGGGAGGGGGACAGGGCTGGCTCAGGTCTGATGCAGCATGTGGAGCTTAGGACTGAACCATGGTCCCCTGTGCCTGACTGAGTTTGCCCAAGGAGACACTTTAAACAACTGAGCTAATCCATAAACCCCTAATTCATCTTTTAAACCAAGACCATACTAAATTTTGCTCAAAAAATATTTGCTGGTTCTGCAGTTCTTGAGAATATACCAAACTTAGCTTAGTCCCTTATTACTTGGCTATCATTATCTTTTTCTTACTGAAATATACAGTAAATTTCTTACTGAAATTTCCTCTAATTTAGGAGGGATACAAGACACCACCATCCTGGAGATACCTGAAATTGTTGGTAGTACAAAATCCTACACTACCTAATATTCTTTTCTTATTTTTTAATAGTAAGTCACTAAGAGATGAGCAGTGTAAACAGTGTAAATGCACTGGAAAAAGGAACAATTCATATTCGGGATATGAGTGAGCCAAATGGTATGAGAATTTTATCATTCAGAATAGTGTGAAAGGGGGCCTGGCCCTAGCTCAGTCCTTTAAGTGGCTGCTTCCACAAAGCTGTCAGCCTCAGGTTGCTGGAGTTCGAACCTCACAACTCTCCCGCTGGCCAAAAGTGCCCTGAAGGCACTCGAGGAACAACAACAAAAAAAAAACGCAGAATAGTGTGAAATTTAAAACTTATAACGTTTTGCTTATTTTTGGAAATTGCCATCTAATACTTTCAGCCTGCTGTTGACTGTAGGTTAACTGAACAATAGAAAACAAAACCATGGCCAAGGGGGGACGACTGGATACTCATTTCAAGTGAGCCAATGTTCAATGTCTGAACCCACTACCATGAACTTTTTCTCACTTTTGTTTACTATTTCTCATGAAGCAATCTCCTAAACTGAATGGGTACATTGCTTAGAGTTGGTAAAAAATTATTCTGCCATCTCAATTACTGTTAAACTCACAGGTTTTTTGTTTGTTAGATGGTTTTGTTTTTTTAAGACAGGATCATACTATGTAGTTCGGGCTGGCTTTGAGCTCACAACGTTACTATCTCAAGTGTCTTGAACTCTTAGGATTAACAGTGTGCACCACCATGCCTGGAAACAAGTTGGCTTTAATACATTTGTGTACGTGTGTGTGTACATGTGCACAAGTAGCGCCTGCCAGGAACTAAGCACATAATTGTATATTTTGGATATAGATTATTAGATTAGGCAAATATAGGCCATTTTCATTTCAAGTGAGGTAGGGAAAGACACATAAATGTCTGAATTATGAGAAAAAAATGACAGTTTTAATTTCTGAGGAAAAGTAGGCATTCTGAACATTATATGGTAAGATGCTAGGAAAAAGTTAAAGAAAGGAAATAAGTTAAAGTACCAATAACTATGTTTGAAGCATGAAAGATAGTTTGTTAAATGGTTTGGGGCACATATAAGGATATCATAGTGGCTTAAATTAAATGTGTATAGGAGTATTTTGAAAACAAAGTTAATAATTTTAAAAAATACTGATCTTGGTAGAATAGATTATTGTTTGTTTTGAGACAAAATCTCGCTGTGTAGCTCAAGCTAGCTTTGAACTCACTATGTAGCCCACGCTGGCCTCGAACTCTCAATGATACTTCTGTGTCAGTCTCCCAAGACTAGCACTATAGGCATGTACCACCATGCCCCCCTATAGATCACTATTGTAAGGCTAATGATGCAATGGGGATCTGGTGCAAAAAATATTAAAACAGGAGAAAATGAGTGGAAAGTAAAAAAAAAAAAAAAAAAAAAAGGCATAATTTTCCAGTTATCTTGGATAATGTAACCTCCAGCTAGGCAAGTTGACAGTTACTTGCAAAATAATGAACACTTTATTCTTTATTATGTTCAATTAAGACCACAGGTGAGGTCTTAATTGAAAACTACACATGATTGGATTGGCAGGCAAAGATGTCTGTCATTACAGATCCTGTCATCACCACTCTTCAACTGATGCTAGTTGAATTTATAGCATATATTCTTCATCAGATTAAGAATTAAAGCTTCCTAATTTTGAGGCAAATTTCTTTAGTTAATGGCTTCTCATTACATTTTAGTCAGTTAGTATAGACCTTTACTATATGCCCACAAGTAATATTATGTTTTGTTATTATAATACTCTTTCAGATATTAATTGTATGGGATTTTATTTAATTTCATTGAGTATTTGTATTTTTGTAGACAACATAGCCTAATTATCATGATTTTTGCTACCATTGTTATACAATCTTGCCATTTCATTCTCAATAAAAAATTTTCCCAAATTTAGCATCTATCAAAATATTGCAGATGTTTAAATATTTCCCAAGAGGTAAAACCTCTGCAATGACCATAAACTTTTTTTGCAAAACAAAAACTTTTTTAAAAACCTGGGTTTCTTTAAATTTATAAAACATTGTGCTAATTTTAATAAAGATTTGAGTTAGCAAAACTTTTAAGCTTTAGTATACAGTTTTGTGAGTTCAGTTGGATTCCAAGACATAGTATATTCTGAAAAAATTTAATATTCTTAAATAAGGGCTATTAGATAATCAAGATTCATAGATAGGACACATGTAGTTAAAATTCACGTAGTTATAGCTTATTCATTTACATTGTATATTACATTGCACTGTATTAATATATTATCCTATTGTTTATGGACAACTGAGTTGCTTCTAATTTCTTGCACAACAGGAAGTCAGAGTTGAAGTTCCAGCTTGGTGATTAAAGCTAACACAGTAAACAAACAGTATTTCCATTTGTAAATTTTCTGATTTTAAGTGTAAAATCTTTAATAACTATTGTTAAAATAGAACCATTTCCCCCAAAAGTGTGTAAAAAGTAACTTTCTACTGAAAACTAAACTTATTCTTAACTTACCTCAAAGAGCAAAGAGATTATTAGAAAAATGAATGTGTATGCATAATGATTTCAATTACCTGTCTTCTTCTCGAACCCACACTGGAGTTTTGGGAATTTGTGCTTCAAAATACTTAGACGCTTTATAACAAAAATTGCTGCAAAAAGACTGAGAACATATTAAAATTACTTTTTGTTATGAAACATAACCTATATAAAGAAGAGAATAAAACTCAGACAGTACTTGAAAGAACACAACAAAACCCCAGGAATAGAATATGGTCAGAAAAAAGGCACAGTACCTCTGAGGGCTTTTATGTATTCTTCTCTCACAGTATAGCCTTCCATATTCCCCAGAAGTAAGCACTATCACATTAATTTTTATTAATATACTACTAATAGTATATTAATTTATTATTATTTGATTAATCATTTCCTTGCTTTTCTTTAGCTTTATCACCTACAGTATACCTTTATAAAACAACATTCAGTTGTCTATATTTCAACCTTATTCTTTTCTTTTGTTCAAAATCTTGCTTTTAAAATTCATATATATCTTATTCATTTACTGTATATTACATTGCACTGTATTAGAATATTACACTACTGCCTATGGACAATTGAGTTGTTTCTAATTTCTTGCTACCACTTCAGTGCTAATTATGGAGTTGATGATTTCTTATAATTTAGTAAAATATACATAATATGAAATATGCCACCTCAACCATTTTTAATTATACAGTTCAATAACAGAAAGTTCATTCTACTGCATCAATACCAGCATTCATCTTTAGAAGTCTGTGCACCTTACAAAACTGAATACTATGCCCATTAAACAATAACTCCACATTTCACATTCATTGGCAAGCACCATTCTTCTTCTTGTCTATGTATCTGGTTACAGTAGGTACCTCATGTAAGTGTAATCAAATAATATTTGTCCTTCTGCCCTGGCTTACTTCATTTAGTATAAATGTCTTCTAGATTCATTCATATTGCAATATCTCAGACTTTCTTTCCTTTTAAGACTGAATATTTCTTTTTCTCTTTTTTTTCTGTACTGGGGATCAAACTCAGGACCTTGTACTTGCCAAGCAGGTGATTATGTCCCTGAGCTGTCTCTCAGAGCCAAGATTGAATATTTCAATGTATGCATACACCACATTGGCTAATACAGCTGTGAACATTCTTACAAAATACATACTATACTCGTGTACACAGGTAAGAACTTAAGAGTTTCTTTAGGGTACAAAGAAATGGAGAGGCTTGGCATAAATTATATGCCACGTGGCTAGGGAAACCATTTGCCTACTACGCTTAAGGGCCTGGGTTCAATCTCTAGCACCACCAAAAAAACCAAAAAAAAAATAAAAAAAAAACACCCTAGAGTACTTAATATTGTCATATTAGTCATATGAATTGATTACATAAACGTTTCCTATTGGTTTATTATATACTCACAATATAAATCTGTGGTAAATTATAAGTAGAAATTTAACTTCCTATCCCTGGCTCATCTTTCCATTTTTTTGGAAAGTTCTAATAAACGAGTTTTAAATTTTATTTATTTATTTTTTTAATTTTAATTTTTTGGTGAAACTGGGGATTGAACTCAGGCCCTTACATTTGCCAGGGACGCGCTTATTCCAATGAGCCATCTCCCGGCCTAGAGCTTTAAATTTTAATGTAGAAAGTTTATTGACTTTTCCTCCATGGTTTATAGTTTTCTATCTTAAGAAATCCTTCTCTAAGTTTATATTCTTTCATTTTACTTTCTAAAAAGGTCTGCCTTTTACATTTACTTAATCTTCCTGCTTTAAACATAGACTGGGGTGAAGTCATTTTCATTTTTTCCATCCGGATAATAATTGTGTCAGGATTACTAAAAAGCCCTTCTTTTCCCCACTGACCATATAACATTTCCACTATCACGTACTAAATGTATCCACATATATGGTGAGTCTGTTATTGGATCTTGTGCTATGATTTACTTGCCTAGATTTGTGCCAATGTGCAATTTAAAGTTTTAAATATTCAAGTCTTAGTTAAAGCTTATGCAAGGAATTATTTTTAGTACTACTTTAAGTACTTAAAATAACAAATTTTTAACTCAATTGTTTTTTAACAGTAAGTTTTATTTTTTATGTATTTGGTACAGAGTCTACAAGGTCTACAGGGTCTCACTACATATATCGGACTCATAGTGATTCTCCTGTTTTCAGCCTCCCAAGTGCTGGGATTACAGGCATGTGCCACCAAGCTCAGTCTCAATCGCTGTTTTAGTGCCCTCCCCCGTCTCCCAGGGGTGGGGCGGTGCCAGCACAGCAGGCTGGAGATCAAACCTCAGGCCTCTGTGCTCTGCCTAAGCTGAGCTATCTGGCTGGCCCAGGAAGTTTTATATTTTTTAATTGAATTTAGTATCATATTAAAAATTAACTGCCACATTGAAAAGAGCCTTTGAATTTACCTTTCTTTCAGTAATATCATAGACTTTATTGGTTTTGGTAGAAATCTTGTATTTCTGTTTTGGTACCTAAAGAAAAGAAAGATTAGCTTATGTTATGATTTGGGACTATATGTCCCCCCAAAGCCTCATGCAGTCATGGGGTGAGCTTCTAGAGTTTGTAATTCATTCATAATCCAATGCTGTGATTATGGATGTGAGTGCCACACCTGCCCTCGGGAAGGAATGAGGTTTGTTCTCTGATGCTCCTCCTTTACTCTTTCTGTTTTCCACCACTATGAACTGCTACCCTCTGCCATGTGTCACTCTGTCTTGGAGCCAGCTGATTACAGACTGAAGCCTCCACAAACTGAGCTACATAAATAAACTTTGCCTTCTTTAATTTTGGGTGTTGGGTATTCTGTCCCAGCAATAAGAGAGAAGTAACTGAGACAGCTTACAAAAGAATCTGAGTAATAAATGTGAATTCAGATTACAAGATTAAGTCATCTACATGACACATTTTTGGCCACCTCATGTCATTAATGACATATTTCATTTACTGTTCCTTCTACAAAGTACTATGACAAATTTTTAAAAGCTTACATTTATTTAAAGTAGTACTTACGATACCCAGCTTCTTCTGACATAAAGGATAACCACAGAAGTTGATAATTGAACGTTCAACCACAACATCACTGTAATGAGCAGGTGTGATGAACTTCCCCTATAATGAAATTAGATGGGCATTTACTCAGATTAATGGAAAAAGTCAATTTTCATCAATCTCATCTGAAAATAAAGGGATAATGATAGTACCTACTTTGCTAAGCCTGGGTGCTCACGCCTGTGACCTCAGCACTCAGGAAGCTGAAGCAGGAGGACTACTTCAAGCTCAAGGCCACCCTAAACAGTGAGTTAAGACCAGTCTAAACTATATAGTGAGCCTACCCTCCCTCCCTCCCTCTTTCTCTCTTCCCCCCTTCAAAAAGAAAAAGAATGCCTACCTCATAAGTCTGAGGTTAAAATTAGAGAAAATAAAGGAAAAGTATTTAAAGACATGTTTGTCATATAGTATTATTTATTTATTTATTTATTGTATTTTAGGGAAGCGTCTATGGGGTTTTCAGGGTCTCACTACTAGATAGGACTCATAGGAATCTGCCTGTTTACAGCCTCCCAAGTGCTGGGATTACAGGTGTATGCCACCACACCCAGTCTCAATTGCTGTCTCAGCGTGCCCCAGAGGCGGGGCTGGCACGACAGGCTTGGGAATTGAACAGCAGGCCCCTGTGCCTGCTTGCAGGCACTTTAATCCACTGAACTATTTGGCTGGCCCTAGTAAACATAAAATTGATAATTATTATTAAAAACTATCCTAGCAGATTAGGCATCTCCATATATTGCACAACTGAAATAAATCTGAAGCAGGAGAAAGTAGTGTTAGAACTACACCAAAACTAAATGATAATATCTTTTACTCTGAAATGAGTACTATCTCAAAAACTCATCTAAACCACATAAAATATTTTTTTATTTTTATTGAGAAACAAATAGCAATGAGATAGTTTCAAAACCGATTAACAGGACAGTTTCAATAATTAATACATTACATATTACTGTCTTCATAATGGTTATATTCATAGTACAAGATGCAGACATGTTACCCTTTCCAAATACTCTTGGTACAAAACTTTCTTCTCATTGAACTAAGAGAAAGTAGCTGTATATCTATTCTAACTATTTTGTATATACAGATACAAAATGGTCCTTCATTGGATGGGACACACAAAATATTAAATTGTGATTTTATCTATTTTTGAAGCATAATTTTTCAAAAAAGAAAGCATATTAAAGATGGCATTATGACTCCTGAACAAAATTTCATGCGAAATTCTTTTTACTTTTTAAAGAAGTGTAGAGAGTAAGAAGTAGGTAATAAAGTAATACTAAATATTTTCTTTTGAACAACTTCATGTTTAAAAAATCTCAATTCTTGTTTCATAACTTTGAAATCTTTTTGAACAAGATAGTTTTCTGTTTTTAGTGAAAAATGTTTTTGTTTCAAATGAAACATTTCTGGTTTGTCTGTTTTTAAAAGTGTCATCATGTATAGAGACTCACATGCAGTTATCTCTATCTTCTTAAAGACATTGATAGTTCATATTCTTCTTGTTTAGAAAAATCTCTGAGGGCAATACTTTCCAGGTCCCCTTCTGTCTCTCTCAGGCAAAGCTTTCCTTTTTCCAATAAATCTTTCCTTGGAAGGAAAACATTCTCTCTGGCTTTCACAGAGAGCAAATTAGTCCAGCAATGGCTGTGACTCCTCCACATGGCTGACACTGACAAAGGATCTGCAAACTGCAGTACAGGGTTACAGAATAAATCCTGAGGGTACTTGACTGACCTTATGAGATACAAAAGTTACATTTCTTGTTATATAGGTCTTGCTTTATCTTGGTCTTAACCATCCAGCAGAAAAGTATAAAAATGAGGAATATAAAGTAAAGCCATACTAATATGCTGAGCTGTGAAAGGCTCAAGTCAACAACTTCTGGGGATAACTCACTTCTATTGTGGACTGCTGAGCTGTGTTGGATTGTTTTGTTGAATTTACGCACCTATAGTGTTTAAACGCCAATGGAATACCCATTTCTGACAGGACTAAACAAAAAAGGGGATACAAAGGAAGGACCATTTTGTATCTGTACAAACAGAATAGTTAGGATAGATATACAGCTACTTTCGCTAAATTCAATGAGAAGAAAGATTTGTACTAACAGTGTTTGGACAGGATATCCTGTCTGCATCTTGTACTATGGATAACCACTAAGAAAATTACAATGTACAATGTACTAACTACTGAAACTGTCCTATTCATCAGTTTTGAAACTGTCTCATTGCTACTTGTTTCTCAATAAAATAAAAGAAAATTAAAAAAAAAATAAGTCTTTCCTACTGTTAAAAAAAAATCTGAACTATACTTAGAATTATATTTGCAATAAAAGCTCTGAGTTTTAATTTTTTCTCTTAAGGATAATGAGAATATAAAATAAATTTTGTCATTCATTCAAAATTTTAATAAAGCTTTTTAAGAAAAGTTATAATTCTGAGTTGAGTCAAAGTATATTTCAGGGTTTTTAAAAAATCAAATTAATGAAAAACATTAAGAAAAATCTGTTACTTAAAATAGCACATTGAAAATATTAATAAAGCTTTTTAAGAAAAGTTATAATTCTGAGTTGAGTCAAAGTATATTTCAGGATTTTTAAAAATTCAAAATTAATGAAGCAACATTAAGAAAAATCTGTTACTTAAAATAGCACAAAACAAAATATTACAAAACTGACAAATGTAATCATAATTGCAAAGGGAGGGAAAGCTAGTGATATAGCACACTAAAAAACTACGAACAAGAAAACGTACATTTTCTTAAGATTTTAATGAAAAATTCATTTTAATTCACAACTGTATATTCTAATGAGGCACAATATAATGTTTTGATACATATATACGTTGTGGAATGAACAAATCGGGATATAGCGTACCCATCACTTCACATACTTATTTCCTTTATGTGACATTTAAAATTCATTCTTGTAGTTTTAACATATATGTTACTTTTAACTATAGTCATCTTGCTATATAATTGTTTTTTCTTTTATTAATGCATTTAAAGATATAATACAATAAAGGCTTATTTTAAAATACAGGATTTAAAGCCAGGTGTGGTGGCTCACACCTGTAATTCTCTGCACATGGGAGGCTAAGGCAGGAGGACTGCCAGGAGTTCAAAGCTAGCCTGTATTTCTGAGTTCAAGTCCAGCCTGAACCACATAGCAAGATGCCTATTTAAAAAAAAAAAAAAAAAAACTAACTAAAAAGCACAATTTATACAGTATGTACTGGCATCTAATGACTTAAAACAAATTTAAGATTTCAATAATACAAAGAAGTCTCACATTGCAGAGATTTAAAGATATTATATAAAACTAATTAACTTAGTAATACATACACATTCCACTAGGAAGTCTTCTGTAATGTTCTCTTCTAATAGTTGTTCGACAATATGTAGAGCTTTTCTCTCAAACTCAATCTTCTTTTTCACAGCTGCTTCAAGTTCTGCTTTTCTAAAATTTTAATAAAACATTAATGTACTTACCACACAAATTTATATCTCCAGCATTCCATGCTTTAAAATCTAGTAATAAGACTGGGTGTGGTGGTGCATACCTATAATCCCAGTCCTTCGGAGGTTGAAAACAGGAGGATCACTATGAGTCCAATCTGTGTAGTGAGACCCTGTAGACCCTGTACTAAATACATTATAAAATAAAATTTAAAATCTAACAATAACTTAACTCACTGTCTTGTCAGTTAAATTTATAGTTTTCAATGCTGTTACTGTTTATTTAATACTTGTCAAAAAAGTCAAAAGCTATTTATTACACTGTATACACTGAAGTTGGCCAGAAGGATTAATTCTAGGTGAAGTACAAGAAGCATTGACAAACTCTCATTGGAAAGAAATTCAGATAATATACGCTGCTACCTTATTTTTGACAAAGAAGCCAAACATGTTCACTGAAAAAAATATAGCCTCTTTTAATAAATGGTGCTGGGAAAACTGGCTTTCCACATGCTGAAGGAAATTTAAAATGGATCAAAGATCTAAATACCAAAATAAAAACACTAAGTCTGCTGGAAGAGAGAGTAGGAAGAATAAGTCATAGGTGTAGGCAAAGACTTCACGAAAAAAAAAACCCTGATTGTAACCTGTTCCATGTTATGTCTAAGATGTTTGATATTCAGACAGATAGTGAGGTTCAGTTCTACTGCCTATGTTGTAGGGTAATAATAATAAGTTTCTCTTTTGAAGGTTTAACAACCTAAGCTTGCAGACCAATAATTGGAGAAAAAGAAGGGCTGCAAGGACAGCCAACATTTTGGCCCTAGCCTTTCAAAGTCAGTGAAGACTCAGGACATAGAAGAACCTGTACTGTAACACCATGTAAGTCAGTTGTGTCCCAAATTTTCTGATCAAGGAAATTATGGGGCCACAAAGGAAAGTGATGATGTACAGTGTGCCTAAAGAGAGTCACATGGAGAGAGAACATTCTCTCAGGCTTTCACAGAGAGCAAATTGGTCAGGCAATGGCCATGACTCATCCACATGGCTAACACTGACAAAGGATCTACAAACTACCGTACAGGGTTTCAGGGTCAATCCTGAGGGGATTTGATTGACCTTGTCAGAAACAAGGTTGTTATGTAGGTCTTAAGCATCCAGCAGAAAAGTATAAAAATGAAGTATAAAAAGTATAGCCATATTAATATGCAGAGCTGTAAAGGGCTCAGGTCAACAACTTCTGACATTGCCAGTCCTACGGAAAACCCACTACTACTATAGACTACTGGACTATATTGGAATATTTAGCTGAATTCACGCACCTACAATATTTAAGTGACAATGGAATACTCATCTCTGACAAAACTAAACAAAAAAAGGGGTTACAAATGAACAACCATTTTGTATCTGTATATTCAAAATAGGATGGATATGCAGCTACTTTCTCGTAATTCAATGAATAGAAAGATTTTTTCTAATAGTGTTTGTGCACTTTGAATTCTTGCTCATGTCTATATCTTGTACAATGAATAATCACTAAGACAACAATATGCAATGTGTTAATTATTGAAACTGTCCTACTAATTGGTTTTGAAACTGTCTCATTGCTATTTGTTTCTCAATAATTTTTTTTTTTTTTTTGCTCCGAATGCCTTCAGGGCAGGTTTGGCTGGCTTGAGTTGTGGGGATCGAACCATAGCAACCTGAGCCTGACTGCCTTGTTGAAGCAGCCACTTAAAGAACTGAGGTAAGGGGCAGGCCCCCAATAAAATTATTTTTTAAAAAAACCCTGACTGTACAGGAAATAATGGAAAGAATCAATGACTAGGATCTCATCCTATTAAAAAGCTTTTGTATAGTGAAAGAATCACCAACAGAGTGAAGAGACTGCCCACAGAGTGGGGAATAATTTTAGCCAATCGTCCTTCAGACTAAGGATTTATATCTAAAACATAAAAAACTGCAAAAAAACAGACCCCCCCATTCAAAGACCCAATGCTAAAAAATGGGCATCTGAGATGAATACATACTTCTCAGATGAAGAAATACAAACAGCAAATAAATATATGAAAATATGTCAACATCACTGGTCATCTGAGAGATACAAATTAAAACAACACCAAGATTCAATCTCACTCCATAAAGAATGGTTATTATCAAGAAATCAATCAATAACAAATGCTGGAGGGGCTGTAGGAAAAAGGAGCCCTTCTACACTGCTGGAGATACTCTGGTTTCTCTTCACATAACATAAATCTTTTGCCTTTTTCACTGTGGGTGAGAGCATAGACTGGTATAACCACCATGGAAATCAGTGTGGAGATTCCTTAAAAAACTAGAGGTCCTTATTCCACCCAACTATTCCTTTTCTGTGTATCTTCTCAAAAGTAAAAACATACCACAGTGATATATGTGGACCCATGTTTATAGCTGGACAATTTGTAATAGCTAAATCCTGGAAACAACCCCAATGCCCATCAACTGAGGAATGGATAAAAAGTTATGGTCTTTTTATGCAATCAAGTATTACTCTGCCATAAAGGATAAACTTGAGACTTTTATAGGTAAATGGATAGAACTTAAGACCAAACTCGTAAGTGAAATAAAGGATAGATGTCACATGTATACACATGGCATTGTCTTCCTGGTGTGGGAAAGTAAGAGTAAACAGGATTAAAACGTTCAACAGATATTGTGAAATGGGAAAAAAGGAAAGGGGAAAAAGGAAGAAAGGAAAAACAGGAAAAAAGGATAAAATGTAAACAAAGCTTTGTAAATAGGGAAGGGAAGAGGGGATGAAGGGAGAAGAAGGGATTGGGAAAATAAGAGGAATAAAAGTATATCATATAAGTTCCCTACAATGAATATGGTCAGTATGTACATCTAAAATGTACCAATCAACTTAACAAAAAAAAGAAAATGAGGTGATAAATTTCTTCCTGTTTTATTTTATCAATCCCATATATGCATATAAAGAGCAGCTTTTCTTCCAATATGAAGCCAGAAATGAGAATGATTAGAAAGGAAAAAAAGATGAAGTAGAAATTAGTATTAATTCTCAAAGGTTCACTGATGGTACAGTTTGATAATACAATCATATTTATAAAAGCACATACTTATTTTTATTGTGAACTTGTTAAGGAACATCAACATGTGATTTAGGAAAATAAAAATCTTCCTAGGAGCATTTGTTCTTGTTATCAATGGCTTCTACTGGTCCACACACATTATGGAACACAAAAGCATACTATCCGACCAAACAATAGGTTAGGACAATGGTTCTCAATCTCAACTGTCCATTAGGATCACCTGAGAAATTTAAAAAGATACTATGTGTCTAAGGTTCCACTACAAGCTAATTAAATCAGAATCCCTGAGCATGGGGCCTACTTCTTGATATATATTTTTAAAGTGCTCAGAAAATCAATCTTACTGTTCAACAGGGTTGAGAATCACTGCTGTGGGACCAAGATATCAACCTTCTTAGTGACTTATTTGTTCCTTTCCTATGCTTGTTTCTACTCATCTACCAGAACTACTTTTGCTGGTCTCCTTGTCCTTGACTTTCCACTAATATCTGGGCCTAGAATGTCCTCGTCTTTTCTTCCTGCCTTAGACTACCAAGACTTTTAATTCTTGCTCAGAGCAGAATGCTTTCCAAAAACAATTTGGAGGTGTTTTCTTTTCTTTCTTTCTTTTTTTTTTTTTTTCCGGAACCAGGGATTGAATTCAGGCCCTTGTACTTGCCAGGCAAGCGCTTATTCTACTGATCTATCTCCCTGGCCAGTTTGGTGTTCTGATAGCTATTTCAACAATCTATCTTGTTAAACAAGGACATTAAGGCAAGAAGAATTTTAAGGCCAGGATGGTAGTTCTATAATCTTATCTGGTCAGGAGATTGAGGTAGGAAGCTTCCAAATTCAATCCCCAGTATTATCAGCAAGAACTTTACAACTAATACCTATTTTCCCACTAATTCATAAAAACCATCTTTATATCAAAGAAGTATGAAAGACAACACAGATTAATTTCTTTATATGGAATATTTAGCTTCACAAAAATTTATTTTCTTTTTCTCATTTTGTACCTGCCAATAAAAGCCTGTCAAGTAATAGGATTCATATACAATCTACATTAAGGAATTGCTGACTCAAAGCCATCAGCCATCTCAACCATCTGAACCACACCTTTTTACTGACAGACAACCTAAAGCTGCTGCCACCTATCACAAATGACAATAGCTGTGTAGGCAAGGGGAGCAGATCACAAACTTTTTTGGTCTCAAGACTCCTTAATACTCTTAGAATTACAGCCTTTGTTCATTTGAAGTAAATCTGTCAATTTACCACATTAGGATTAAAACAGCAAATTTTAAAACACTTAATAACCAACCCAATAGCTGTACACTATCTTTTTTTGTTTTCATTTATGTATTTGGTATAAGGTCTTACTATGTGTCTCAGACTCATAGCAAACCTCCTGTTTTCAGTCTTTTTTTTTTTGTCTTTTTGGACAGGGGCTCACTATGTAATTCAGGCTGGCCTTAAGCTTACTGTGTAGCCCAGGCTGGTCTCGAACTTGCAAGGATCCTCCTTTCTCAGCCTCAGTGCTTGCTGGGTTTACACATGTGTACCACCATGCCCAGCATATGCTTTATATATCTTTAAATGAAAAACTTTGTAAGAATGTGTAAGGAACAGTGTAAGGCAGGCCAGCTGAGATCACTAGGCTATGTAAAGGCAACATGGCATGGAATTTATTAGGACAGAAGGTGAAAAGGCTGTCTGCAGGGAACAGAGAACTGGACTTTTTTTTTTTTTTTTAAATAGGCTTAAAAGAAGGCGAGGGACATTAGGTGGGTAGGTCTTAGTAAACATCAGTGGTCAAAGGCCTCTGGATGTTTCGTGCCTCAGTGGACAAAGTCCTTGAGGAGTTCAGTGTCAATGCTTGGGCGTTTTAGATATCCAGGTGCTTGCAAGAATCCATGTTACATCTTAAGTCTTTTAAGACATCCTGTGCCATGGGCACCAGTGTTAAGCTGAGAATAGTGCCTCTCCTGGCGGACAGGTTGGGTATTGGGAGAGTTATGCTCAAATCAAGCTTTACAGAATAGATTTATATCTTTGCAAATCTCTTCAATGTCTGTCTTAATAGTAATCAGCTAGACTGAAAGTCCTGTGTTTCAGCTGAAATAAATTTATAGCCACTCCCTCTCAACTATTTAGCTGTCCTATGGATTGTTTCATCATCCTGGGTGATCTAAACGTTTTAAGCTGGGGCTTGACCTCAGTGGAAAGCACTTGTCTAGCATACATAGGATCATGGGTTCAATCATCAATACTACACAAAATCAAAAACAAACCAAAAAACATCTGGTTTGGCCAATGTGGTGTAGCAGCCCTGTATTTCAGCACTCAGGAGGCTGAGAGAGGAGGATCACTCCAAGAGTTCAAGGCCAGCCTGGACTACATAGTGAGTTCAAGGTAACACCAAACTACATGGCAAGACCCTGTGTCAAAAAACAAAATAGGGGTAGGGAGATAGCTCAGTGGTCTAAACAATTGCCTGGCAAGCACAAGGACCTGGGTTTCATTCCCCAGTACTGCATGTAGTGCAGTCCTCCTCACTGCGTTTGCATGAGCAGGTGCCTAAAGAACTGAGCTAACCAGCAGGCCCCCTATACCTTTTCTTTTCTCAGGGTCTGCATACACACTATCACCTGTAGCTGGAGGTCTTACATCCCTGCTTATTGCCTGGTAACACCTAGTCTTCAGGTCTTAGCTTATTACTTACTCAGAGAAGTCTTCCCCTGAAAACCCACAGCCAACTTCCATCTAAATTAGGCATATGTTATTAATTCCTCCTAACATCATGGTCTTTTCCCTATAGCACTTATTATGAATGTAATTATGCATTTATTTGCATCTGATATTTCTCTGTTCCACCAGACAAGAACTACGTCAGATTTGATCAACACCATAGTATCACCAAGTCTGGAATATTATTTATAATCAGTAAATAATTGTTATCACTTGTGTCTAAGTGTGCCTGCAAAATTTATGGAGGGGGATGCTCAGAGGTGGCTGAATCTAGAGAGTGACTAAGGGTGTGATTGCTGCACCCACCCTAAGGTGGATAGCTTGCATGCAATATAAGACACAAGAAGTCTTGACTGTCTTTCCTGTTGCTTTTGTTGTCTTCTAAAGCCATGAATCATTGCTCATTTGCCATGTGCCACCCTGCCTTGGAGCCTGTGGATTATGTTTTGAAACCTTTACAAACTGTGAGTTAAATAAATCTCTCATTCTTTAACTTTGGGTTTTGGGTATTTTGTATTATCAATGAGAAAAGTAGCTAAAACAGTAATTTTTTTAAAAAAATGAATTAAGACCAAAGCCAATAAAAAATTGAATCTTCAATAAAAAGTGATGTCACACATACACATATATCTCAATCTCCTTTAAAGACTACTATTATAGAAACCATTTGTGATATGAGATAATATCTTGCCTGTTGAGGAGCCAAAGAACAGTAGAGAACAGCTGTCTTCCTTTTTTTACTTATTTTATCTTATTTTTGGCGAAACTGGGGATTGAACTCAGGCCCTTGGAGTTAGCCAGGGAAACGCTTATTCTACTGAGCTATCTCCCCAGCCCCTTGTCTTCCTTTTTTTAAATGAAAGCCTGGACTTGTTGTAACAAAGAAAAGGTTTCTTGGAACACTAAAGAGAGAAACTTGGACAGTGAATCTGACGTATACAGCAGATACGCATAAAAAGTGTATCTGAAAAGTTGGCAAAGGAATATCTAGTTTATTCAGGTGTGTTCCCACAGATACCTTTCGACAGCTACACCTTCACCAGCAGTCCCCAGTTTTGGTTTTCTTAGACTCATAATTTTCTCTAAAAGAGCGACTCAGAACTATTCTTAAAAAGGATTCAATCACTAACATGAGTTAAAAGATAAGTGGATGCAGTTTTGCAAGTAGTTTGCATACCTTTTAGAAGCATCTTCTGGTCTCAAAGCACTTGTTTTAGTACCTACAATTGAAAAAAAAAAAAGTCAGCCTGGGCATGGTGGCCCAAGCCTGTAATCTCAGCACTCAGGATGCTGGGGCAGGAAGAGGCAAACTGAGGCACCACGTTGCATCTTACATAGTTCCCCCTAGCCTTAACTACCCAGGAAGACCTCTCAAAAATACCTTTTAAAAAAGGTCAAACTTACCCAAACCCATTTGGTACAGGATTCATTCCTGCCTAAATAACAAACTGTCTTTTGTTATATACTTTTCAATTCTGTGCGTAAATCAAAATGAAATAGGAACACCTGGTTTTGGTAAATTGATTATTCCCAATTTTTCCTTGGTTACAAATGATAGCATTAGGGCTCGAATTTTTATCGCAGTTTAAGCGCTCCTCAAAAGAAGTCGCGATCTGCGTACTTTTACAGGAAGTCTCTTCAAGTCTCCCAAATGTTCGCTCCCTGGGTTAGGGCGGAGTCCGGCACCCCCAGAACTGGGCACCGAAGCAGCCCGGAGTGGGGCTCTCGGAGCTTACAGGCCGGAGGCACAGGGCCCGCCAGGCGTCGGCGTTGGGCCGGGAAGTCTTGCCCAGAAGCGCCCGGCTCCCCGCCCCGGGGGCGCCTCCTGTGGGACGGCGCGCTCCTCCGTGTGGAGGTCGGTCGGGGCCCAGTTCACAGGATCCAAACGTAGCGGGAGATCCCATGTTCATACCTGTAGCCCTCCGAGACGCACCAGCAGCGCGGGGCCTGAGGCCCGCTGGACGCTGCACAGCGCTGTCAGCCATCAAAAGCGTCGTCAGAGGCAGTGGTGGGGCGGGCGCGAGCGCAGGGGGTGGGTCAGGCGCGCAGGGGGCGGGGCGCGCGCAGGGGGTGGGTCTGGCGCGCAGGGGGCGGGGCGCGCGCAGGGGGCGGGGCGGCCAGTTCGCCCTGGTGCTGGAGACCTTTGAGGGCCGCGAGGTCTGGCGGGTAAGCAGACGTCAGGAGGTCCGGGCGTCTCTGCTCGCGGTGGTCGGTCAGCCGCGGGGGACGCGGCGCTGAGGTTCGCTAGGCCCCTTGCGAGGCGGTGCGGCCCGGTCGCCTTGGAGCCGGAAACCGGAGAAATGGCTTCCTCTGCGCTGCTCACGAGTGCGCTGGGAGTTTGAATCGCTTGCGAGCGTGAGGAACTGCGCGACGCCTCTATCTCCTCCAAGAAACGAAGGTTGGCGGGCCCAATCGGGGACCGCCTGAGGACAGCGATTGCCGGGCTCTGGTAAAGCGGGATTTTGCTTACTGGATTGATAGCGCCACAGAGAAGTCGGGTGGAGGACATCTGAATCTTCATCCCCTTTGGGTGATGTAATTGGGTTGGATTCCAATTTTTGTCAAGTGGAACATTAAAAATTTCCCCAGTGATCAGCGTTTCAATTTTAGACCCACCTTTTGGAGGAAGTGTTTAGAAAAACACTTCTTTTTAAAGCCATTTAGTCCTTTGCCTCCCGAGAGAGTACTCTCGATGGTTGTTATTTCTGGTAACTTTCAAAACTACTGTATGTTCTTTAAAATATGCAGTAGGAAAAAAGGTGCATGGAGTCAATAATTACATTCAATTAAAATTTCACATTTTATTTACCTATTTTTAACAATCTTTTATTTATTCATATGGTACAGGATCTCACTATGCAGTTCAGACTCGTAGTGACCCTCCTGTCTCAGCCTCCCCAGCGCTAGGATTACAGGCAGGCGCCACCTCGGCCTGCTCAGCGCAGGGCTGCAGGGCTGCATGGCATGTGGTGCTGGGGATCGAACCTGGCTCTTGCACTTGTCAGGCAGGCGCTTAGACTGCTGAGCTATCACTCCAGCCCCCACATTTTCTTTATTGTGTTTTTTCATAATCAATATGAAACATGTTATGTACTGACACAATTTAATTGTATTTGTATATATAGTATTTCAGAATCAAAACTAGAAAAAATAATTAGAAATGGCTGTGGAGGAGCTCCAGTCCATAATAAAGAAATGTGTAAGTAGAGTGGGTATGTTTGCGTCTGTCTGTGTTTTTTTGGTTATGTTTTGTTGGCAAAGTTAAATACCCGTCAAACTATTAACAGGAGGTTAATTTTAGTTACTATTGTGGTCACTCTTATTTATCTTCAGTCCCTATTTTTGTTTTTGAGACAGGATCTTGCTATGTGGTTCAGGTTGGCCTTGACCTCACTATGTAGCAAAGTCTAACCTCGAACTTGGAGACTCTCCTGCCTCAGGTCCACTTGCCTCAGCTTCTGGAGTGCTGGGATTACAGGTGTGAGCCACCAAAGAAACTGGCTTAATTGCCATTAAAATTAAAAGGGTTATGACTGGTGTGGTAGGCCAGCCTGTAATCCCAGCACTGGGGAGGTGGAGGCAAGAGGATACCTGGATTTCAGCGCCAGCCTGCACTACACAGTGAGACCCTGTCTCAACCAAATGATAATACTTTTAATGCTGATCTTTTTAATGGATCTCTTTAATACAACGATTTCAAGGTTATTGGTTAAGGAACCTGTTAGGGTAATCCTAATTTTCATACATGTATTTATGTGTAAGTTACCTAGAATTTAAAGATTTTTAAAAATTAAGTTGCCATAATGAGTTTTTGTTTGTGTTTGTGCTTTTATGTGTATGTTTACCAGCAAATCTTAGAAGAGGATGACTTTAAAGAAGAAGATTTTGGCCTATTTCAGTTAGCAGGCCAAAAATGCATAGAAGAAGGGCACATAGACCAGTTATTAGAAATTACTGAAAATGAAAAGAATAAGGTAAGTACAGTTTTTGTGTTTAGTTTTCAGTCTTTACTTGGGAAGAGAATAATCACATGTTGCTATTATTCATCTTTTCACTTACCCATCAAACATTTAAGAATCTACTTAAATTTCTACAGTAGAAAACAAAAAGCAATTAGTAATATTCATGTATGTTCAAGTACATACAGTCTTGTGTGAGAGATAAACATGCAAGCAACCAGCACTCAGAAGGCAGAGTAAATAAGTGCTATAGGGGCTGGAGATATAACTCAGAGGCATAAACACCTACCTGGCAAGTACAAGGACCCAAGTTCGATTCCCGACCCTGCCTACCCAGGAACCCCAAGTGCACCATGTTGGCTCCAGATCCCCCAGGCATGGTAGCACTACACCCGTAATCCCAGCACTAGGGAAGTTGAGGCAGGAGGGTCTCTGCAAGTTCAAGACCAGCCTGGGGGCTACAAAAGTAAGCACTAGGCCAGCCCAAACTGCATAGTAAGACCTTGTCTCAAAAAGAAAAGTGCTATGCTTAAAGCACTTTAGAAGGACAGGATTATTTCAGGAGATCAAAAACTGGTATGTGAATCAGTTTACATTGAGAAATAGGAATATCAAGCAGACTAGGTATTCCTTTCTGGTAGTCAGTTCTTGGACAGTGTTATTGACAGTGCCAGGTTTTGTCTTTGAACTCTCCATAACAGCATTAGAAAGACTCCCTCTCCCACAAACATCTTTCTTTCTTTCTTTTTTTTTTTTTTTTTTTTTTTTGATGGTAGTTATTTATACAGAAGCTTGAGAACATTCTGTTTTTTCATATGTTTTTGATACTTTTATAACTTAAAATACAGTAAATTTCATGTTTTTTAATTCTACATTTTTCCCAGTTGCATTTTCAGAAGGCAACTTTTGAGAGTACCCAGCTTTTAGCTACTATTACTACAACAACTACTACTACAATTAATAATAATCTTTAACTTTTCTATGTAATAACTGTTCTTTTAAGTATACATGTATTAACTTTGTAGCCTCTCCAAAGTCCTGTAAGGTAGGTAACATTTTATATTGTCTATAACTCCAGCTTCTTGGGGCTGCAACAAGAGGATCACTTTTGTCCATGATCAGCCTGGACAATATAGTGAGATCCCTATGTTTAAAGTTTTTTTGTGCCAGGGAGATGGCTCAGTAGAATAAGTGCTTGCCTGGCAGGTGCAAGGGCCTGAGTTCAATCCCTGGTTCTGCAAAAAAAAAAATAATAAATAAATAAAGTTTTTTTGTTTTTATTTTGTAAATGAGAAACAACTGCTGGAAGATTGACTTTCCCCAGATATAATCAGCTTTTATGTACATCTAGAGTTCCAACCTCTCTGGTGTAGTTTTGATCTCTTAACCACTCTGGTTAGCATGCAGCAGCTTTTAGAAGGAAGTTTTCGGGTAGAATAAAAGAGACTAGAGAGATGGTTGGCCTGCGAGAGGTCAAGGCATCAAGGATGGCTGGGCTTCCAGCCTTTGAAGGATAATACACTGCATGATGTCCTGAACAGAAAAGGACAAGACAAGTAGACAAGAAAATCTTTCTTGTCTTGACTTATAAATTTTGTGTTTGAGATGTAGCACGCAATTAGAAAGTAAGGTTTCTTACTTTCTTAGTCCTGAGAATACTGGTAAAAAGCATGTATGATGCTTTGACCTCTCTCAGGCCAACCATCACTTTAGTCTCTTTTATTCTGCCCTAAAACTTCCTTTTAAATCCTACTGCTGCTAACCAGAAAGAATGGTTAAGAGAACTCAGAGAAAGTAGTTAAGGGAACTGAGAGAAAGAGGAGATTTAGGTGACGATTAACTTCAAGATTAGGTAATTGAATCACTGAGGACTTCAAAAGAGTTTACCTGAGTCCATAAAAAAAGAGAAAGAAGAGGCCAGGGATCCCCTCTTGAGGAATTAAGGAACAGCTGGAGAAGCAGAGGCTGATAGAGGTGAGGGTGAGCACTACATCAGTGAGAAGGAGATGAGAAGTGTGGTCAGTTGTTCATAGGCACTGTATGCCTCAGTGCTTTATATTTAGCATGTTCTAAATAGCTGGTGGGATTTAAGCATAGTGAAGCTTAGGCTTAATAGCTTGAAAATCTCCTTTGTAAGATGTAATATTTTAGGCAGGATAAATCTCTGTTACAGAGAACTGTCCTGTGCATTGCAGGATGCTCAGCAACAGCCATGGTTTCTGCCTATTAGATACCAGAGATAACCTCTCCCAGCCCCATGTAAATAATGACAATAAAACTGGTCTCCAGACCTTGCCACATGTCCCCTAGGGGGTAGGGAGCAACTCTGCCCTCAGTGGAGCACCTCTGAAATACTGGTAAAAGCATGGACACAGGAACTAGACAGACTTGTCCTGACTGCCACATTTTAGGTCTTGAACATCAGGGATACTGGTACTCTCTGAAGTTCAGCATTCACATCTGTAAATTGGGGAGAACAATCTTACTCCATGTAGTAAATTAGTATTAAAGAGTAACAGTGTTACTCTCCATAAGCTATGCACTCTTCTTTTAGCGTTACTAATAAACTTATTTATGTGCCAAAAAAAAAAAGAGTAACATGAGCTGCCTTAATGAAAGTCAATATTTGCCGTCTTTGTACCTATTCGCCACTCTCCCTTTGTACTAACTCAAGCTGTGAAACATTTATGTAGTGACTAGATATTGTGCAGCTGATAATTATACTTTTTTTTTTTTTGGCAAACAATTTTAACCTTTATTATTGTCATATTACATACATGATAAAATTAAATTACAAGTCATATAACTGAACAAAAAAATTCTTTATACAAGGTATATTTAGATGCCTAAATACAATCTGGCTTTAAAAATGAAATCATACATATATTATATCCCTAAGTGTGTCAAATCCAAAGATGTACAACAATGAGACTCCTGAAGGGGCAAATCCAGGTACCAACAAAGACACTTTTCTGAATTCCCATGTTTCACCAAGTGTCAAAAACCACCTATCTTTTAGTTCTTTTCTTACACATTATTCTGTATCCATATTATCAACATCTGATTGGATCCCTAGATTTAACTTCATTTTCTGTATGACATTCTCCACAGATACCTATCTTTAGGACCTGAACGTCCCACTGAGTGTCCATTGTCAGTGTCTGATTTGGGCAACACTTAGAAGGTTCTCATTCTGCTGTTTCTAAACCGATAATTATAAATTTTTTTTTCCTGTATTTTAGGGAAGGGTCTACAGGGTGTTCAGGGTCGCACTACTAGGTCAGACTCATAGAGATTCTCCTGTTTACAGCCTCCCAAGTACTGGGATTACAGGCATGCGCCACCACGCCCAGTCTCAGTTGCTGTCTCAGCGCGCCCCGGGGGTGGAGCCAGCATGGCCGGCCCGGGGATCGAACCCTGGCTAATCTGCTGAGCCACTTCTTTTATGACATACCAATTATTACCATACTGTCACTCAAGTAAATTTTTTTTTTAAAGGGTAATAAATGAAAAAAAAGACAGAAGGAAAAAAAATGTCACAGGACTGTCCTGCTACAATGCTGTATATGGTTAGATTTCTAAATTTCTGTATAAAAATATGTAATTATTTATTCATATTCTTTAAATATTTTTCATTTTTAAAATTTCCATATTCTGTAGAGTTTTAAAGTTTAACATATCAATACTTGATGGAAAATACCTGTTCCATGTTATGCCTAAGATGTTTGATATTCAGACAGATAGTAAGGTTAAACCCAACTGCATATGTTGAAGGGTAATAATAAGCTCTTCTGGAGGGTTAACAACCTAAGTTTGCAGACTGAAAATTAGAGAAATAGAAGGGCTGCAAGGACAGCCAACATTTTGGCTGGCCCTATTATAAAATATTTTAACAAAGATTTGGACTCCAAGGCCAGGTGTGGTGGTGCATGCCTATAATCTCAGACTGGGGAGGCTGAGGCAGGAGGACTACTGTGAGTTTGAGACTAGTCTGGGCTACATAGAAAGTTCAAGGACAGCCTAAACTGCTTAGAGAGACCCTGTCTCAAAACACAAAAAAAAGTTTGACTGCAATAATCAGAAGTCTCAAAGCTGGCATGCCTCTTACATTTATACTGAAGGAATAGGCCTATGTAGAAAGAAAGAAGTGCATAGTAGGAAACATACCAAATTTCCCTGAAAATTAATTAAATATGTTAATTAATAAATTAAATGTTAATTCATTATATTCAGTTTTGCTCCAAAAGATACAGTAGGGCTTATTTTTAGAGGATGGCTTATTTTTTTCATGTACAGCAGTCTACATGTATTATTTTTTTAAGTCTTTGTTTATTTGGTATAGGGTCATACTGTGCAGTTTGGATTTGTAGTGATCCTCCTGTCTCAGCCTCCCCAGAACTGAAATTATAGGCATGCACCACCATGCCTGGTTTCAGTGTCTCACATGGCATGAGGTTCCAGGGATTGAACCCAGGTACTTGTGCTTACCAGGCAGGCAATTAGACTGCCAACCTATAGCCCCAGCCCAAGTTTATAGGTATTGATGTACAATAATCTACATTTATTCATGTATTAAAAGCTACATTATTCAAATACAGTCATAGCTTCTGGAACACTGTCCTAATTCTCCAAACTCTGAATTCAAGTCTGAATTTGTTGCAACTCCTTTTCCTGTGGAACCAGTGTCTCTAGTGTCTTGTTAGAGATCTCCTTAACTGAACCATTCTTCTTCAGGTAACCTGCTCATTATTACAACACACATTATTTTGAATTGTGAAGCTTCACATTAGACATAATTACATCCATTCGTTACCACAACCACATTTTTTTGTGCATTATCTCTATACTCCAGTTGGTTATTTGGCAATAAATCTCTAGTTCATCTTTTTTTTTTTTTTTTTTTTTTTTGATACAAGGTGTCCCTACACAGTTTGGACTGCTAGTGATCCTCCTACCTCAGCCTCCCTTAGTGCTGGGATTATAGGTGTGTGCCACCACGCCACAGTTTGGGGGTGGCATGGCATGCAAAACTTGGGACCTTGTATTTGCCAGGCAGGCGTTTAGACAGCTGAGCTATCTGACTAGCCCCTCTAGTTCATCAATTTATCTCACTCCAAAGGTGCCTGCTTGGGTATTTACAAATACTTATATATAATGTGTATTATCATTTATTTTAAAATATTATTTAAGTCAATATTCATTTATATTTTATATTATAATTCAATTTATTCGTCATGTGTAGCACCAGACATACTAAATGTGTCTATCTGGCTAACAGTCTTAACTGTAGCTTATTTTTGGAGTAGGACTTATATTATGAACATGCTGAAAAATCATGCTAATGCTGATTTTCCAGTTATACCTTCTTTTCAGGGAAATTCAGTAGAATTTGACAGTAACTAATTAAGTTTTTGGAAGTAAACACAGGATTATTAAATAAATAATTATGAAAAATAATTCAAAAAATTGCTGATCTATACTATAAATTCCTAGTAAAATTCTAAATGTTAAAAGTCAAACTACCTCTTCCTGTGAGCAGCCTGAAATGAAAATGGTTCATTACTCTCTTTTTTTTTTTTTTTAAATTTTATTTTTATTTATTTATGTGTGTGTGTGTGTGTGTGTGTGTGTGTGTGTGTGGCCAGCTCAGCCCACCTGGGGGCAGGGCTTGCTGGCATGTGGTGCTGGGGGCTTGAACCGCGGTCTAAGTTCTTTGCTAAGCTTGTTCTAAGTAGGTGCTTTAGACCACTGAGCCATCTCACCAGCCCGGTTCATTACTCTCTTAACCCGGAAAACCCTACAAAATCATGCAAACCAAGAGGCTCAAATCTTCACAAATTTGCCCAGGCCATCAAGGGTCTGCATATCCAAAAGGCCACCATCTAAAGGATATCACCTTAAAGAGTAAAAGGGGCCTTTTCTGGCTTACAGTGCCAGACTTGGTAGGTGCGCCCAGGCCAAACAGTGGGGCTGGACACAGGAGCGGTGGCTCAAAAAGAGTGCTGTATTTTTGCTGCACATGCTTAAAACTGCAGAGAGGAATGCTGAACTTAAGGGTTTAGATGTAGACCCTCTGGTTATTAAACATATGCAGGTGAACAAAGCACCCAAGATGTGCCACCAGAATTACACAGCTCATAGCAGGATTAACCCATACATGAGCTTCCCCTGCCATATTGAGGTGGTACTTATTAAAAAGGAACCTTTTTCTAAACCAGAGGAGGAAGTTGCACAGAAAAAAAAAAAATATCCCATAAGAAACTGAAGAAACAAAAACATGGCACAGGAATAAATTATATAAAATAAATGCCAATAAAAGTTAAAAAAGTCAAACCACACCAAAAAAATCAGTAAAAATGACCATCAAAACTTTGAATAAAATAATAACAGAGTAATTTGGTATGCTTAAAATAATAGGCATAATTCAGTCTGTATTTATTGAACATTTATTTTGTTGTATTCCTTTGTAACAATACCTACTTTGTCACTTATACTGGTAATAGGTTACAGTAATGAAAAAAATCTGCCTATATGAATGGGCAGAATTTCATACAACATTAAGAGAAACATACATAATGAGTAAGTTGTATACAATGTAAAAAAGTTAAATACTATAGAGAAAAAAAAGCCCTAGAACCCCATGTGCTGGCTCTGAAACTGGGCATGGTGGTGCATGCCTGTAATCCCAGCACTGGGGAGGCTGAGACAGAAGGATCACTACAAATCTGAACTTATATATATGTAAGTCATATATATATGACTTAGCTGGGCACAGTAATACATGCCTGTAGTTTCAGCTACTTGGGGAACAGGGGAGAATCACTTGAGCCCCCAAGAGTTTGTGACAAGCCTGCACAACATAGACCCTGTCTCAAAATTTCAAAAACCCAAATCTTTATGTCATTAACTCTGTTAATTAGAACATGTAGGGAACATGAATATTAACAAGACAAACACTAATATAGCTTTACTTTTAACACCTGTGGTTACACTTTTCTGCTGGATGGTTAAGACCAAGTTAAAGCAAGACCTATATAACTAAAAATATAACTTTTGCTATCTGACAAGGTCATTCAAATTGGAACATGTAGGGAACATGAATATTAACAAGACAAACACTAAAGTAAATGAAATGAGCAAACTGAAAAGACAGTATTTTCTCTTTTGTGTGTGTGAACTATGTGTTCATGTACCCTAATACAGTTCTCCGGGCATTGTTAAGCCTTTTACCTTTACACATTGCTGCTTCAGAAGTGAATATTTTTTCTACAGGAGTCTTAACTTCTGGGAAGCCTCTCCTGCCTTTTCTCGTTGCAGATGACTGTTCTTCCTCATACTGTCCTTTATTGTAAGTCTGGGGTAAAGAGGAGGTATTGTAGGTACCATTTGGTTATCTTAGGTCTTTTTATGAAAGAATCATCCTACAATGTAGAATCTGAGAGTATAGATTTTACATCTCCCTTTATATGTTACAATGATTGTATTAGAGATTTCCCAAGGAACTTTAAAGGTTCATAAGCATTCCTCATTATATGAATCAGAAGACCAGAATTCTGTTAAGTGCTTACTCATTTTAAGCAAATTAACTCTCTTGTAAGGAATAGAGAAATGGGCTGGGGATATAGCTCAGTGGCACAAGCACCTGACTAACAAGCGCAAGGTCCTGAGTTCAATTCCTGTACTGAAACAAAAGAAATAGACACTATCTGAATCCTGGGAAGGACTAAGTTACCTCATATAAAGTAAAGATCCTTTTGCCTTTTTTCAGTGGAAGTACTAAACATTTTTAAAATGTTGATATCTATTAGGAGCCAACCCTAGAAAGTCTGTGGAGAAATATTGTAGGTCTCACTTGCTTCCTTTTTCCTGTTTCACAGAAAATTCTTTGTTAGAGGGACATAGTGTAAGTAGTCCTGTAGGTGTCAGTGTTTTACTCTAAGATGGTTTTGCAGGTTATCATCAAGACCATGGGCTGGAATCTTGTTGGTCCTGTTGTTCGATGCCTTTTATGGAATGATAAAGAAAATGATAAAACAAATTATTTTCTAATGCTTGATTTACTGGTAAAGGTAAGTTAATAAAACTAGGCTAACTTTGTTTTAACATATAGTGGTATTAAAATTCCTTATAGCTCATGAAATACAGATGAGAATTTGGGAGAAGAGCCCAATCTTATTTAGTTGAATGGGCAATTCCATTGTAACATTCCTCAAATTTTCTTTCTATTATTTATTTATTTATTTATTTTTGAGACAGGGTACTCCTTTGTAGTTCAGGCTACCCTTAAACTTTTGGCGATCTTCCTGCCTAATCCTCCCACATGCTGAGATTACAGTCATGCCTGGCCTTCTCCACCTATATACATATACATATATAGATATAGATATAGATATAGATGTAGATATAGATATATATACATAGATATGAATTACCTAACTTTATGTTTGACTACAGATTCAGTTTCCAGGGAGAGACAAAGGATGCTGTATTTTAACAAATAGCATTATTGTATAGTCAAAGAATTCAGTGTTTAATCCTATCTTTTTACAACATTGAGCTAAAATGTCAGTGTACTTTCCTCTGGAAGTTCTAAAGTTAGAGTGCAAGTGATCACAATGGAAGCATGAAGAGGAAGTTGAACACAGATCAATTGTGATTTAAACCCTTAGAAAGATATTGGTAAAAAGCAGAGTAGAGTTTTGTAAATACATAATGGCTGTATATAAATATATAATGTCAATATATAATATAAATATATAATGGCTTGGATAACTTCTGAGGAAAAACACTTAGGAAACTTCAGGGCTGGGGAGATGGCTCAGAATAAGCGCTTACCTGGCAAGCGCAAGGGCCTGAGTTCAATCCCTGGTTCCATGAAAAGAAAAACCAAAATGGAAAATGCAGAGGCCAGTGCAAATATGCACACGCATGTGACTCAACCTCTAGATGTGACTGAAGGCTTTTAACAAGGCAAATAGTCATGGTCCTGCCTTCAAAAGTCTTGCCTCTTAATCCTATTATAATGCATATCTGTAATCCCAACACTCAGGAAGTTGAGGCAAGGTTGCCAAGAGTTCAAGGCTATCCTGAACTACATAGCAAGACTTTGAATCCAAAAAACAAATTTAAGAAGGCAGCAGTCAGGCATTTAGCTCAGTGATATAATGCCTACCTGGCAAGCGTGAGAACCTGAGTTCCTGGTCTCTCCCCTTACTTCCCAAAGAAAAGAAGGTGGTACATAAGCTGGAGAGCCAGCTCAGTGGTACAAGTGTTTTCCTAGCATGTGTGAGGCTGTGGGTTCAAGCTTCAGCACTCCCAAAATAAAGCAAAACAAAAAATAAAACAAGAAGTAATAAAATAGAGCCAATCAGAAGATACAAAGTTCAGAAAGTACTTAGACTCTGGACTAGTCTAAATACCCTGGCAATATGGGATAGGAAGGTCCACCTGCTGGAAACTGGGTATCTAACTCAGCCTGCAGAGGAGGTTAAACTCAAAGGAAACTTGAGCTCTGGTAATCAGGGTGTCCCTTTCTGTACTCTTAAACAGTGATATGAGGCATTTTACTGTGAAACAAAAGAACTGTATTTTCTTTCTTTTTTTTTTTTTTTTTTTGGTTTGGGAACTTCTTTATTCTTTTTTTTTTTCTACAGTTTTATTGATAAACAGATAGCAATGAGACAGTTTCAAATCAAATCA